ATTTGAACTTCTGATAACTTGTACATGATTTTTTTAAAATGGTCAATTTGAAGCAAGTTGAAAAATACCTTTTTGACCTTTTTATACCTTGAAAAGGTCATTAAAGGTCAAATCTTAAATATAAAGTCAGATTTGAACTTCTGAAAACATGTAGATGATTTTTTTTAAAATTGAAGTCCGTCTAAACAGTATTTGTTAACTTATTGGAAGTTGTAAGAATTTGTTACAGACGTCGATCGCCAACCACCATCCGCCGTCAAAAAAAACGGAGACCCAGCAATATTTCACCACTTTTTGGTGTTGACATTTAAATCAAGTCACTTGAGTGAATATGAACTTTTGAAATACTTCAAAAAACATTCATGACCAGGGCTCACTAGTAAACTATTACTTAGTATCACAGTTGCACAGCTATATACAAAAAGAAATGAAATGAAAACTATATGTAGATAATTACTACTTGGTCCCGCGTACTTGGTGTCACCTTTCGGTAATATGTTGAAAACACTTACTTCTTGAGGTCAAACAAAGTGACTCTATTTCCAACAGGACTTATGACTGTGTTCCCATCTCCACTAAACACAAGGTCGCCTTTGTGGTACACTGTGCCCAAAAGGTTGGAGAACTGAAAATAAAATAAACGATAAATCTCCACTGGCTTGTGTCTTTCTTTCTTTCATGTACCAACTAAGCATAAGGTCCCAGATTCGATCCATGTTCAGGCACTTTGCATGTTGCGTAAAGTACTTCAGGGTGTTTGACTGAGTGGTCCACGACTTGTAAGAAGGTGGTGTGTACTATGTATGAGTGCACATAAAAGAACACAGGGCTCATTCAAGGAGGGGTTCCTGGATCTGCCTTCCATGATTATGCGTTAATTACGACTGTATATATACGGGATATACCCAAGAGGCATTGCTCAACTTCATTGGTAGTGAACAAAATACAAAGAAATACAATTAGACAATAAAAAGAAGAAATGCTTCTCCTGAAATATTTTTGCTTGACAATAATCAGAAAAAAGCATATTTATGACATGTTCTGTCACACAAAAAAAGATGAGTGTGACTTCAATTTGTTCAGCAAATATGTGATAAATACGGGAAAGTAGGACGACCTGCATACTCTTATATAGTGTACATGTACAGAAATACATGTATTCAAACTTTATAATCCCCAATTATTATGACATTTGGATGATTACTGTTCTTTAAATAGAGTATATGTGGGTGTCCCTTCTTTGATTGATCGACCCTGTATAGAAACACCCTCTTAGCTCATAGGTATAGACTATAGACATGAAGGATCAAAATATTATTTTTACAAAAAATATTTTTGTGGGCGATAATAGAGAGGAATTATATAAATCTACAAATATCGTACGTACCTTATATGCCAGCTTCATTTCACTATGATCATAAATTGTATTTTATCACTTGAAGTATTGTTTCAAGTCTAAATACCTTTTGATGAGGATCTTATCTGATAAATAATCGATTCAAAAATACCATGCTTTCATATCCGGAAGTGATGATGCTGTGTATTTTTGCAACGGCAAATAATGTTCGCACTTTTATCACAAAATTATTCTCTAATTGGCGCGCTCATTTTGTCACAAAATCCTCTTGCAGTATTTTAAAAGATCAAATATAATATTCATTACCCCTCTCAATAAAATTCTGAGTCCATTGATTTGACAGACTTGTATTGGAATATAGGTGGCGCTCAGTCAGTAAACTCTCCACTTTTAAAGTTATGTCTTATGATGACATCTATTTAGTGAGGAAAGTTTACTTTCTAACATTTTCTATTGTGAGTCTGTATGATGCTTTAAAATCTAAATAATAAATAAAACACTACAAAGTGTTCCCTAAGGGCTTCTTGACCCGCCTTTCAGTGGGTGATGTAGTTTTGAGTCCCACAAGTGAGTCCCATAATATGTTGGTTTACTAAACGAACATAAGGGAGAGGGGAATGAGGTCACTTTAGACATTCATTTGAATCATTTCCCTCATGATTATTTGTTTCTTTTCAATTTTTGTTAGTATTTTGTCTTGACACTTTCACCACTTGGACAGGTCAATGCTCACTTATGAGCAACTAAAGTTCATTTCGAAATACTCCAAAGTCACATTTGGTCATATTTAGAGGACATATCGCTGTGTCACATGCACAATGCACATAGGAAGCTCCTGATAGACTGACATCTACTTTAAATGCTCCAAGGGCTGCATTGATTCTTTTCTTTATTTTTAATGGCATTTTAAAGTACATGTACAGTAAACCTGACTAAGTGGAACACCTTTGGTACCTCTAAAAAAGTGTTCCATTTGGTAGGTGATCCACTTTTAAAGGTTCATTTAACATAAGTCAGGTGGTCATGGTACTCTAAAATGTTCCTCTAGCAGAGGTGTTCGACTTAACAGGTTTCACTGTACTATTTTTGGGTGGCGACTACAGGTTGATATTGTTTGTTGTCATTTGAAGTATTTTAAGGATTTAAGTACTCTACAAAGGGGACATTTTGGAATATTCAGTTATAGAAATATTTTTAGTGTTTGTTTTTCATACACAGGGGATTCTTGGATCATGGACTTCCATTTTTATTCTTTTACATTAGCATGTGGTGTTTAGCAGGACAAGTTGTACTGTATTGAAATAAGATGAATCATTAGATTAGTGGGCTTTTTATATTTCTACACGCATAAACCAAACCAGTAACAAATAAGATTAATTTTTGTAACATTTTATTAATAAATCATATGTGTTTTCTTATAAAAATGTTTTTATTGTTTAGTTGTTACATATATAAATACATATACATCATGTGACTATCTCACAATGTAGACTAATATCATAAGTTGAAGTGATAAAGTACTTCAACAAAAAACAACGTTGCATAAAAGTTACATTATTTACTCTTCACAGGCTTTATATATCTCAGTATCATAAAAAATGCATAATTATTCAAATATCATGCATCATTTTTGTCTTACATATGCACTAAATGTTTGATGTTCGATATAATTTCATAAGGTCAAAATGTACATTTCTAAAAACTTTGAGATCATTTCTTTACTAATTCAATTAATGTGCAGTTCATCCCATATAAATTCAGACACACTGGCCATGTATATCCTACTTGATTTGTAAAATTCTCCCCAGTCCAATGAAAAAACTCTACTAATATAGCAGTTGCTATCTATTCATTATTACTGCCATATGGGGGAGGGGGGCAGCATGGGTGATAATAATTCATAGCTTTTGTACACTTTCGAATTCCTTATTTCCGTATATGCCCCCATATTCAAAATTTGCGCTCCCTCCATTCAATGTATTTCCCAATATTGATATTCTGTATACTTTACTTTTACCAAATATTAATATTTCAATATCCTATACCCCCTACCCCCTATATTCCATATTTGTTCACCATTCATATCCGACTCTATGCTGCACCCCTCCTATTCCACAATATGATAATTCCATTTCGCATACAACCTTAAGTATAACCCAATGCTATTGTGGCTGATATACTAAATCATTTTATTTTATTGAACATTCAATTTTCAAAGCTCTAAAATCTATTCCTCCATAATGCCTCAAAGTTGAGGTTTAATGGTTGTTGTCATGTAGTGAGATTCAAAATAAAATACATATAGTGGACAGTGTGCATAAATAAGCAACTACGCACATAAGGATCATCTGCTATAAGAGTAGCAACTAGATAACGGCAACTCCGCGGAGTAGCAAATCCCAACGAACAAAATATCAATTAGCGAATTCCAATCAATTATACTCATAACTTTGGTTAAAATTGAAAAAATTAGATTTTAGAATTGCAAATTCCTGCAAAGCAGCCATTTTGAATTTTCTGAAATACAAATCTGAAAAATAATACCATAATTGTGATCTACTCCAAAATTCCTTCAATTTGAGTATAATATAGCCATACTTTGAAGGGATCGAAAAATTATTGCGAAATCGTACATTAGACGGCCATTTTGAATTTTACGAGGCTCGAATCAGAAAAAAGATACAATATTTGCAATCTACTCTTAATTGCCTTTCATTTGAGTATAATAAAGCTATACTTTAGAAAGATCTAAAAATTAGTGAAAATTTCTGTTTTCCTGTCCCCCCATACACGGCCCCTGAAGGTCAGGATGAAAAACACGGAATATATGTGAAATAGATAAATGTTGTGAATATACTACCAAAATTTCAAACAATAATATTAATTACTTTGGTTCAGAATGAAAAATTTATGATTTTTGCGAAAAAGTCCCGTCATTCACCAATATACATCTTTCCACTAAATATGAAGAAAATCCGTCTACTAGTAATTGAGTTATCTTCCGGACAGACGGACGGACTGACGGACGGACAGACGGACGGACGGAGGGCTTCACTATATCCCTACAGAACTTCGTTCGTTGGGATAATTACAATACAAGGGATTTGTCAGATATACATGTTAAGAGCATTATTATATCAATAATTTCAGGTGTGATACACATTACACATAAACGGATCTTCATAATAGTATAGTTCTATATTTCAATAAATGTGAAACTTTCGAAGTAAAACATTGTGGTATCTCCACAAATAGCATTAATAAAGAGTAAAATACAATACAACATGCCATTTGTTATGTTACCATAACAACTTGGATGTTACTATAGTAACTCTGCATGTAAAGTCTATGCAGATTGTAAATATTTAAAACCATTTAAAATCTCATAAAATGTAAGTTGAAATCTCTTTTTGTATAGTAAACTTTCTCTGAACACAAAGCTACATGTACATGTACACTAATTCAAATATTGAAGGGAAGTGACAAAATTCCACTCTACATTAAGAGGAAAGAAACTTGAAGTTTAGAGTGTTCTATCTTTCAAATAAATCCTATATCTACAGGGTAACCCAAAAAACAGAACCCACAAATCTTTGAATAAAACATATGGGTTCTGCTTATTTGGGTCACCCTGTATACTATTAATAACTCATAGATCAATATCGTGTACCATAGCAGCCAGATAAATAAGAGAAATCCATAAACTAAAATCTTCTAAAACAGTAAAACTACATAATGAATACAGTAAAGCTAAGAATGTATAAAAGTTAGGATTTAGTACATTGTATGTGTATTTAGTATAACTAGGTGATCTATATACATTATAAAACTATGATGTTTAAGACAGCTTTTTATGCCATTTATTTAAAAAAGGATATTCTGTTTCATAAAGACACAGTTTGAACGTTTTAAAATTAACTCTATGATATCTGCTGCCTGATCTGCAGCCCTTACTGGGACATACCATACCATATACAGTTATCAAAGAGTTAAGTATAAAGACACAGTTTGAAAGTTATAAAATTAACTCTTTGATACCTGCTGCCTGATCTGCAGCCCTTACTGGGACATACCATACCATATACAGTTATCAAAGAGTTAAAGTTAAAGCTGCATGAATGGCAAAATTGCATTCATCCCTAATATGAATCAACACAATTTTGTCATTCTGAAGCATAAAATGTGATGTTTGCCTTAAGAAACACAGACTACAGTATTAAAGAATATATACCTCTGTGATACACAAACTATCTTTCGACTGAAGAAAGTTATGATCTGTAGATGGTTTTTAAAGAATTTTCAAATGTTCCTAATTTCTTCATACAAACTTCAAAATGCATATCTTAAGGCAATAATAAGGCACGGGCTGTAACTTGTAACATACAAAAATAGTTGTGCCATTTTTACTTTATGGGAGAATGCTCATTGAGCTGCTATACATATTCCTCCCTTGAGAGACTCCTCTGGTGACCTTTATTTAAAGTAGTATTGGCACTTTCCGGCTCCTTACAGACATTAACATTGTTCACTCCAGAGCCCAGAGGGCGCTGATTGTCAGCACCAGGGGGCCCTGTGTCTGGTAACTGAGCTATATCCTTAAACACACCAACAAGTTTTTCAAAGCTCGGTCCCCAGTTGAGTAAATAATCCCAATTTAATGAACCGTTCATTTTGTTCTTAAATTTTGAGCTTTCATCGTCGGAGACCAGAAGTGTACTTAGAGAGCCTGAGATTGAGTTCAAGTCACTTTTACTGAAAGAGCTGTTGTTGTCTCCAGGGAGCTCTGAAAGTTGAGACAAGAATAATATACTAGGGTCCATGTCGTTACGAACTTTCTCATCATCAGGTTCGTATTCAGAACATGTGAATGAGTCATCACTGTGAGAATCGCTAGAAGAATCATCATTGGCCACTTGGTCATTTTCTATAGGAGATGTTTTAGGTTTAATTATATTGCCGCGTCTGTGCTCCGTTGAGCTTGAGATTGCATCTGCTGTGCTTGCAGGGCTTGATAACGGCCGTGCATTTAGTCTATTGATTTCTTCCAGAGTTAATCCCTTGCCCTTTAACCTTGGGCCACCATTTGGGGCTCCTAAAGGTGAGCGAACTCTATGTGAAATACCAGAGCTTGCGGTTGTATTGCTAACATTGCTCATAGAGTCATTGATTTCTCGTATTGGGCTACCATGGTGATTGTTCAGTAAACTATGGGGACTAGCACGTAAGTCTATATTGTGGGAACCCCTAGAGGGGGGTCTGGAGGAGGGGTGGGGGCTCACACGTGACAGCTGATTCATGGGACTTGGGCCACGATTGTGTGGGTTAATAGGCATTGGACTCTGCCTGGCAAGATTCACATTTATTGGCATCGGGCTCTGACGCATCCCTGGTTCATGACGAGAGGGGTGCATCATGGGATGCGGAGATTGTCTGTTAAGTGGCGTGCTCTGCATTCTCAACACACCTGGACTCTCCCTAAGGAGATTATTGGGAGACTGTCTGTTAAGATTATGTGGACTCTCCCTGACTGGAGGCCCCAGGGGCCCATGCCTTTGGCCCTGAAGGTGTTGGGTATACATATTGGGCTTGTATTTACGTAATTGGCCAGCCCTGTAGCCTTTATAATGTTTCACTATGTCTATATCCGATGGTGCTATACTACTTGCATTGTCAATGTCATAATGTTCAGGGGGAGCGTCATCATATGTATCAGTATATGCCCCATTATCCATCCCGTAATTTCCAGGCCCTGTGCTGCCCTCTATGATGATAGTACCATCTCCAATATGAAGAGGTGTCGGAATAGTGCGAGACTGAATGATATCTGGTCGTGGTGGGAGCCGATCTTCTATGGCTCTTTCATTGTACTGTCCAGATGTTAACTCATTCATTACATGTTGACGTATAATCACCTCATCAGGTGCTTGAGCACCATCAGCGTTATCTCCGAATCCAGAATCTGGGACGCTGCGACTGCTATCATTTGCAGTTTTAGCAAGGTTACTGATTTGTTTGTTTGTCAAAGCACCTTTCGTTTTTGCTAATTTGTTACGTCGCATTTTGAAGACAATCAATCCAATCACTAAGGTAACAAGGATCACGACACCGATGACACATATCACTGCTATTATCCCGACACTGAGAGGTTCCTGTTGATATGGTGCCGTCAAAGGACAGCTCTCACTTACGCCACCTACTGTTACGATTTCGAACTGATCTGTATCCTGGCTGAAGTCGAGTACGTCACCATTCAAGCGGAACTCATCCATGCAACCATCGAAGCCTGCAATCGGGAATGATAAGCAGATTAATAACAAACCTTGAGTCATATGCATTGAAATCATTTACTGTATTGTTAACATCTTCATATCAGCAGGTTGAGTTAAAATATTTAAAGGTAGATCATGTTATTAGATCTAAAATTAAGTTAAATACACTCTCCAGTTTTAATCACTTACCAGAAACCCTGACGCCATTAGAGAAGACAAGACTATCAGAGCCCCCTATTGAGAGTTCCTGTACATCAATGCCCAGGAAGTCATGGGGCTTGATGGAATATTTCTCAACTTCTTGGTATTGGTTGTCAATGGTGATGGTTACTATGTTACCTAGAATACAACAAATACAAAGATGAAACAACTGCATTTCACTTACTGTATTCAGTAAAACTTTTTGAATTGGTGATAACAATTTCTCAAATATGTAAGGTTATTAAATTTCCAACATTTGTATTATACTATTATTGTATGTAGTGTACCTTAGCAAAGTATTGGTTACCTGTAATGGCAAGAGATATGTTATGCCACTCTGAGTCTGCAACACTGACACTCGTAACCCTTACTGAGGATGTAACACCAGTATCTGGGCTGAAACTGTACCTCACAGAGCCATCTACCAGCTGTAAAAATAAATATCTCATTTTTAAACATAGCAATATTTTTATATTCTGTTATATTACAATATTACACTTCTAATATTTCCTCTTACAGGATTTTTTGGAAATTTAAAACAATTTTTTTTATTATAGAGATTCTGCTTAACAAAAAAATTTACCACCCTCTACATCCAAACTCCAGATGCAATCTACAATGTCCAAAATGAAGTAGCTTCTGGATGACCTTTGGATTCCTATGATCGACAATAAAAATTACAATTAACCCTTATGTTCCTTACCTCCAGCAAAGAGTAAGCACTGTTAGATTTTGCATAGAATAACATCCCATTGGACTTCTGAGTTCTCATGTTCATCGAGATTGACTTGGTTTCTGATGTCACAGGCACAGCACGTCGTTTGCGTGATGATTGCGCCAACATCTGGTCTCGTTTGTAGCTCTCCTTTAGTTTAAGTTGAACAAAGGCATTGCTGCCAAATGTGAAAGAGCCTCCGTCTGAAAATATGAGCCCATTTTAAGGTTATTTAATTCATTCGGCAGAATTTGAATTTTCAGTTAATAATGTGATGTATCATAAAATTATAATTGCTGATACAGGGGTTTCACAAAAACATACCTTTTGCACAGTTAGATCCAGAAAACCCGGGTTCACATTGACAGCGATGTGTCGCCCACTCATCAATGCAAACCCCACGATTATTACACACATCTCCAGAACAGGCCCCAGCCAGGGACTGCCTCTTGCACTTGTTAGAAGTATGATTCATGGCACGTGGTTGGATGTCAAAAAGCTGCGTTCCTTCAACTGTGATATTTCGGAGACATCCGATGAAGTCGTGTGTTTGGATCTGACCTGGTCGATCCAGGATTGTTTCGATGTAGCGGATCCCACCAATACTTAACGCATTACCACTGGCGCCAACATCAAGCATTCTGTAATGATACATTAGGGAAATGTAGAACTTTGTTGTTTTATTTATTAAGTTGATTTATAGATGGCGTGATATGTGTCAATGGAGACTTCTATTGAAAAATTTTAACATTCTTTGCTTTAGGAAATAATGTACAAATTACTATTCATTTGATATTAACACATGTACAGTATAATAAATGATAATAAAATTAAAAATATAAACAAAAGTAAATAAATAATAACAAACAAGTCCGATTTCTCAATTTAACTCAATATGGTCTACAGTTAGGCAAATGAGAATCATTAATTTCAGTTTGAACACTTACATAAAGTTTGAGGGGCAATAAAAGTCGATCAAACCCAAATCAATCATGGAGTATTTGCCACTTGACAATCGATTTATTTAGTTACATTGTTAATCTTATCACAACACTTGAACATCAAAGTCACATATCATAAACTTGATTGTACTAAGTAAAGTTGAAGTGATAACTGGATAACTCGTAGAAAGTAAGCTTGGTGATATCATGGAATATGTTCAAATGGGTAAATAAAGGAAATTATCACTAATTAAATTAACACATTTGTTCTATCAGGGCATTAAGGAGATGAAAATGTCATGTAATATAAAGTTAAGATAAGGTCTATTTAAATCAGACAGGAAATTGAATTCAAGAAATTATAGTATAGTTTGAAGCACTGCGACGTAAACGAAGGCACATGTATTAACTTTTCAGACTTCTTAATAATTGGGTGTCATTGTAAACTCTCATTAAGCTCCAATTTATCTCTTCAAATTTGTTTTCATGAACAGAGTTGAAATATCTGCGTTGTTAAATTTCAGAATTATTTCAATTTGAGATGTTAGATATGTCTAGGCCATTCTTCAATTGTATTGAATTTCAAATCATATCAATAGAACATACAAATATTTCACACCTTTTCTAGATATTATCTCTAGAATCTTCACACCTTATACTTATAAGTCTTGTTTATAGATCATTGATGTTACAACGGCAAGCTCATTAATCTAATTTATTTTTCATGATTTGATCATTTATTTCTCCGAGATGATTAATCATGTAATTCTCTAATTGACAAAATGCTTTTTTGAAGTTGTATTTTGCGATGAATTAATTTGAAATAATATATATTATGTCAAGATTTTCTGATAATATTCAGTGGAAATGGCAATTTTCTGTAATATAGTGAAAATAAATATCTTTAATTTCAAAAGTATCTCACACAGTATCACACAGTATTAAATGTGACATAAGGGACCATTTCAAAACATTATACACAGTGAAACACATTTTCAAAACCATGTGCTTTTTCCTCCCCTAAAAACATAACTTTAACATTGATTTCTTGGGAAACTTCCGAAGCCAGAAAATCAACATTATAAATGTATAAATTGAAAAATCACCTTTTACCCCCTCCCACCCCCAAATTGTAATTGGGTGTACAGTATATATTTTGACACAATCCCAATACTTACTGGTTATTTCCCTGGCTGGTGGCTGAAACGTAGCAGTTTGGGTCACCCTGTATGCAGGCGTCACACTCAGCAAGACTTTCTGGACACTCTGTAACCATTAGGTTCCCACTCTGTAACACACAAAATTAAAACATATAATTCTGATCACCCTGTGAAAAATCAATGGAGGTACCTCTATCATCTAATGCTAACTTTCACTATTTCAATATTAGTCAAGTCACTGTTTTTCAGACTGTTTTTTCTCCATATATGTTATGGAGGATTAAGAACATTAAGACATTAGACTCAACACTTTAATCTCAATTATTCACAAAAATTGATGTTTATTTTGGGTTTGATCAGCCTAACAATGTAACATTGTTTAGAATAAGATTTCAGTTTTTGTTACAATCCCAAATTATGATTCAAAAAATGCCATTGTTCACTTTCGACTCAACAGTGACTTGAGACGAAATGGTTCATAATAACAACAGTTCCAAAAACAAAGTTTAACAGTAACGCATGTATAATATAATACAATGGATAATTATTCCTTACCATGTAACACACATGAAAAAATCTGCAAATGTTAAAAACTTTCTACTAATTATGACAACATTATAGATTAACCACATGTGAATTCTATTACACATGTTAACAGACAAGTCTGCATTTGTCAGCAGATTTTACGATAAAAGATAAACTAGGAACAGTCTGGGAGGGAACTGTGACTTTACCTCCCATATCTGAATTCCTCTAACCGGAACATCAAAAATCACTCTAATCATGCTATTTCATTCAATTTCTCTCTTATTCTAAACAAAAAGTGAGAATATACAGGATTTCTATGTATATTAGTTTGTTTGATATAACTAGGTTTAATGTTTTCCTTGCTTATTTCTCGCTTGTGTTTATTTCTCAAGATTTAGGGATGTTGCCCGTGATTTTAAATTCATGAGTCAGACCTTAAAACACATAACCATCACTCATAATTTAGTTACCTACCTCACGCTAAAGATGAAATGATAAATCTTAGCACTGATTTTTACAACAAAAATATATGATAATATAATATATGATACTATAGGACATAATACTGAGTTTATAAATCTACTTCATACACAAAATAAAATTCCAAGCATTTTTGATATTTTTAAATTGTATGTCATGAATTTGATCAAAGTTATGAATTTGAAAAATAATCTAAGGGGTAGTCATCCAAAAAAACGAGTGTGTAATTGGCCCCAGCTTAGCAGAGTCAAGCTCCCCTGCTATGTCATATCCATATAATACTCCAGTATTTAGCCACCGCTGGGCAACTGACAAATTCAAATGTTGAAAAATTATGATTTGGTGTCGGTTTCATGATGTATGAAGTGATTTTTCTTATTTTCTGTCATTTTTGGAACTTCTACAAGTATACTGACTGGATTTTTTCTTTAAATTCTAAAAATGTAATTTTTCATTAAGAATACAGCAATATACATTTGAACATGCACATTTAAGATCAAAATATTGTATTTTGATTTGAATTACATTTCTCATCATAAAAATTTGAATTTGGATTTTTCTTAGAGCCCTTTTCATGAAAGTCATAATATGGGAGGAACTTGAGCATAATTTGGGACCATTAACATGAGAAATACAAGACACTAACTGTGCATTGTATGGAGTGGTTTTCTTGCTAAAATGGACATTGAAACAAAATCTCAGTTTAATTACCTTCACAAGTAAAGTGATGATGCTCACACCTTTATTGCCCCATTTTCGTTTAAAATTACCAAAAATGTGGGGGTGATTCATCAAAACTTGACAGTCAAATAATGATCAGATCTGATGGAATTCAGAATTCCGCTTTACTGGGTCAGAATTTGTGTATCAGGTCAATAGACCCATATGTGAGATAAGATTCTTCTTAATTTTGGTCAATTTCAATAATTATTATTAAGTATCAGAGAGATCAGGAGAATTTAAACATTACTTTATGCTTTTATTTCAAATCTTGAATACTAAAGTTAAATGAAAATTCTGAGATTGTTTCAGTGAAAGCTGATTCACATTTATGGCGTGAGACTTAAACAACAACAGCTACATATTGTCCAAATTTACAATAAACAGATATTCAGGAGTGAAGTTCTACATTACAATTATAAACAAATAAACATGATATTTTATACGATAATGACCAATGAAAAGAAATTAACTTAAAACTTGATTGCATACTGGACACTTTAACCTGAGGGACTTTTGACCTTTTTTATTCCCGATGACACTCCGCTCTATTAACCCTGTCAGAGAAAGGTTCAATTTCAATTATTTTCATTCCGATATTTCAGGATCATGTTACTGTATGATATCGACACTCTATTATGCTCTGCTCTCCAAAATTAAAATCATTATTTTGTATTGGTGAAATACCAGTAGATAAAAAAATGACATGCCCTTCAAACAACAATTTCTATGGTAATTATTTAGAACAGTATGCATTTTGGTATTTTCTCAATATATCTGCACACCAGAGTTCACTGCTTTATCATTTTTCTCTACTTTTCATAATCAAAAAAAAAGTCTACAGAGAATTCTCTTTTACACCATCATTTTATTTGTAAAAAAATAAAATAAGGGTTCATGCACTGATCGCAAACTGAGATAAGATACAATATCCTGGGGGAGAGGATATCATATTCAGGGGTTAATTTCACTTTAAATCAGGTGTGAATAAAGATTTCAGTTCATCAAATGATTATTACCTTGTCACTAACTCAAGATAACTTGACGCTATCTCTCCATTCCTTTTGGTCAAAAACATCTCAGATTTCCAAATTTTGGTAGAAATTTCATATTTTTATTTCAACACTAAAAAATCTGGAAATGAGGTGTAAAAACTTGACGTTATCTCTCTGGTAGATCTAAGGAGCAATCAGAGTTCATATGATCAAAAAATAATCTTTTTATCATCTGGAAGTGTCTAACTATATTGGGTTATAATTTCTTGATTGAAAATGAATTTTTCTTTCATATTGGCTGTTTATACTATTCAAGATTTTTAGCTCGAAGCCATGAGCTATTCTGCTTTATTCTTCAACACATAATTCAAATCATTCATTATTACTAAATTACAGTGACAGTTCATATGCCTTTGAGTAAGGTACCATGTCAAATCATGTACATTATTGTTCATTTTGTAAAAATTTAGAACAAATTCTAAATATTCATTTTGAGATTGACAAATGTAAAATAAGCATTTGAACACCATATGGTGAAAATGTAAAACTAATTTCACATTGTCTGGAGAATTCATCACCGTTTTGTACAGATAAAATTCGAACTTGGTCATTTGAATATTTTCTGGTTGAAATCATTTTTCAAAATGGTCATCTAAATTGGACATGATGCGGATGATAATGGAACAATATGGCACGCCTGCTGGGAGTTTTCACTGAAAGAACCTGAGTTATCTAGGATCAATCTCAGCTAAATTCTAATGATAATAATGAAATCGATAACAAATATATTGACGTTGATATTAAATATGCATGCCATGTGAAGATTTACCAGACCAGATGAGAGAAAAATAATTTTCTGCCCTGAATTTATACAAGTTCCTATCCCAAGATATAAGGATGTTACAAATTGTGTCAAATATGAACTCATTAAACTTGGCATTTATACGGTAGCTTTGGCTTAACACCATAATAATAAAGAAACATAAATGCACAATTTTTTTGAAAAAACATTTAGACATGATAAAGCTACAAAATGAAATAAACGTGTCAGCTACTCCAAAAATGTATAGCATAACTTAAAAATATATATCAAAGTAAAATGTTCATTCCAGTAAATTAGACCAGTTAACCCTGAAGCTCTCTTGTAAGCAGTTTATGAGAGACTGTTCAAGGTACCGAGTTCCAGTAAATGAAGCAGAAATATGAAGACATCAAGTGTGTCAAAAAGTCATCTTTTAAAGATAAATCCACTCCATTGATTGAACATTTTACTTCTGGAGCTGATTAGGAACAATAGTTTAAGACATGTTGTCATTTTGTGTTAATTAAGACACTTTATCATAGATTATGTGTACAATAACGAGTTATCCTCCTCTCTTGTTATTCTCAAATACTCATCCGCACCCTTAGATAAACCTTCCACTCTCTAATTATTTATATACGCTGTAATTTTAACACCAGTGCCGACCATTAAAATTACTACAATTTTAATTTGCGAAAAGTGTCATTTTTGACGGCAGCAGGTGTGTGGGTTGGTCACTTATGGACGGAGATAGGACGCGAGTTTCATTTAGAGAGATAAGGATTATCATTATGGTTATTATCATTATATTGAAATTATATATAATATAGATAATCTGACCTTGTGTTACAAACATTGAAATTAACAATAGGTAATGTTTAAATGGGTGGACCTAATAGTAAATCTTAATGATATATACAGCTGTATTTAATCATTGAAAGAAAAATTATGAAGTTGAAACATCATAATTACCTTTCCATTTCTGTTAGCCATCAAACGATACCATTTCCCATCAGTCACTACTTTCTGAAGAGTCATACGTGTCACTTCTCCGACTCCCAGATTAAACGAGAACTGGATTTTGCCATCAATGATCTCTATAGCGATGAAGTCCTTGTCGTATCCAGCTTCTCCAGGGTGATATAGCAACAGAGCATTTTTCTTCACTGTCGAGAACTCCATTGCGATACTGTTTGTCTCACGGTTATTTATGGTGGTCGTATATTCCATGTAGGACGTCGCTTCAAAGTTACGACTGGCGATCTCACAGCGTGATCCAGCATCGCCAAAGTCACAATCACACGTGTACCCAGAATCCTCATTGAGGCATAATCCTCCATTCAAACATGGCTGACTTTGGCAGAACCCAAGGATATCCTCGCAAGTTTTACCAGAATACCCGATGACACAATCACAATAGAATGATCCGATTGTATTGTGACAAGTCCCTGTGTTCTTACACGGCATCTGGGAGCATTCATTGACATCATCACCACAGGTGTCGCCGGTGTAGTTAGGAGGGCAGATACATTTATGGTTTCCATCGTCGATGTAACATGTTGCTCCATGTTGACATGGGTTTTCAGTGCAGCTAGCTAACCGAGTTTCACAATTCTGTCCGGTGAAACCTTCAGGGCAAGCACATGTGAATGTGTACACAATTTCAGGAGATGTCACGATTTGATGAGGTCCATCATAAATGTTATATCCTTCGTTGATTTCAATTACATCCTGGCACTCACCCCCTGAACTACATTGGTTGACCCCACATTCTGAAAATCCAGTACTTGAGAATACAACACCGCATTCTATCTCCATTGCCCTTTTATTCAAATCTATCTTACTCTGAACTACTGACTTAAACACATATCCGCCATTTTGTTCACGAACTGCCACAAATAGATTTAAATCATCGTCACTTTGCTCAAATCCATACAGCATAACTGTTTGGCCATCAGGAAATACATTACTGAAAGATTGTACTAGTCTCTGGTAGGCCTCCAACATAAAGGCTTTAATTGTGATATTGCGCAACTGGAGCACCAATGTGTTATCCACGGTATCTTGGGTAAATGAGCTAAAATGTACAGTGACGGGTGAATACACTGTAGAATATACACCATCATTTCCACTGATATTCAATGCAAACTGAGACTCAACCTCCACTCTAGTCGACTGCAGGTTACAGTCTGATGTCACGCTGAACACACTGGTGTCTCCACCTATGATATCACATTGGTAGTCTCCGCTAGAATCTGGATCGAGCGGTCGCACATTGCCGACAATTCCTCCATCAAATACGCCATCTTGCATATTCACATAGATCTTAAGTAGGCGTGAATCAGCTGGCGAATCATTCTGGTCAGACACCAATACACGTACCTGAAATAAAAAAAATATGAATAATACAAATGTTTGTAACTCAGCTGTTAAAAACACAGCAAGATAGCAGTGAATCATGGCTTACAATAGATCCCACTGGTGTTTGACTGGTTGTTTCACATCAGCTCTAAGCACAGGATTTCATTCTGTGTAACATACTATTATAAAGCAAATCTTTTTACATTAATCCACAGAGGTGGGTGTCACTAAAATTAAATAAAATGCTGAGGAAAGTAATTGTTCGAAATGGATTAACCAATAACCAATCACTGACCTGTAAGAAGGACGTCTGAGTGGGAATCCCATTATCTTTCACTTCTACATTGAGCATGTACTGGGCTTGAGTCTCTCTGTCTAACACACGTGTTGTCCTGATGATTCCAGTTGTCGTAGCAACACTGAATGTATCACCATGATCCATCAGGGTATACCTATAGGGTCCCTGGTTGGGAGCAAGGTCAAGGTCATTTGTGTACTGAGAAAGGTCAATTACTGTGCTGAATTCAGATTTTCCCTCCAAGACTTTCCCAGTGGGGACAGAAGGCAGGAAATAGGGGGCATTGTCATTCACATCTGTGACATAGATCTTTACTTCTGTTGAACCTAAAAAATAATAATCAAAAATAGTTGAAGCATTGTGTTTTTTTCATTTTTACAAATAAAGCATTCAACTCATTTATTAAATCATCTTGGTTTTAATTTTGACAATTAAATGCAAGAAATATCAAAATTGAAATGATGTCCAAATCATGCATCATAATTTTCCTTTGTAATGTTGCAGTAAATAGTAATCTGTAATTATGATCCCCATAATATAACATTAAATAAGGACAGAAAGAATATAAAACGTGACCGACAACCCAAGTTTCATTTAGCAGATTATGAACAGAATTAAATCAAAAGAATATTCAGGATTAAATAAGACATATTGTTACTGAAGTTATTTTCACCCTGAAAAAATTACAAAAAATTACTAAAGTTTTGCTGACAGGATCATTACAATCTGAACTTTTATGGCAGTTTATGGGATTTTAAAGATGAAATGAATGTTATTGTCATATATAGTGTCATGATTTTCTGCTTGGATATAGAGTAGATCGAAGAATTATCTAAGAGTGTAGATGAAGTTCAGGTCTTATAAAGGGTAAGTTATATCATATCTAACAATGGGATACCTTCGTGTAATGTCACATTACAACAACACTTCACAGAACCACCTCAAGTCAAACAAGTCAAAACATCATTAGCCAATTCATATTTTTCATTTATCTTATTTATTAATACCTATAGACTGTGGAATGGGTTATTAAAAGTATTATTTAATTTCAATGACTATGGAAATAAAATATGCAAACTTATCATAATACTGTATGTCTTTATTTCATACAGAATAAATGTTTACGAATGTAGAAACAACAAAAAACTCACCAGTTTGAGGTGGAGTCCCAGAGTCAATGGCAGCGACAGTGAGATTGTATGTTGCGATAGTTTCCCGATCCAGTTTCTTGGCAAGGCTGATCCAGCCGCTAGTGCTGTCTATGGTGAACTGATCCTCGATGTTGCCAGACAGGAAGGTGTACGAGAACTGGTTGTCGCTACTGGCGAGATCATTATCGTTGGCAGTTACTTGGGTCACTTGGACATCTGTGGCAGAATCTTCTCGAATGTAATCTTCGAACAGTGTCTGGGTGAACAATGGCGCATCGTTAGCATCTTGGATTGTAATTGTTACCTCACAAGTGTCAGTATCATTACCATGGATACCACCATGATTTTTGGCCAGGATTTCAACAACAATCTGACCCTCAGATTCATGGTCGAGTTTTGTTGATACGGTTATCACACCAGTTTTCTCATTGATTGCAAACCCTTTAAGGTTGCTATCACCAATAAGAAAATATTCCACAACTCCATCTAGACCAGAATCATCATCTTTAGCCAATACGGAACCAACGAGGTAACCCTCATCAGCCGATTCACTGACAATGAATCCATAACGAGGCTGAGTGAATCGTGGGATAAACTCATTAACACCCAGTACATATACGGTAACTGTAGTTACATTCTGCAAGATGGTGCCAGGATTAATGGCAGTGACCTCCATGGTGTAACTGACTCTCTGTTCATAGTCAATATTTCCCTGGGACTTTATCACTCCAGTGTTCTCATTGATGAAGAACTTATCCAATGCTTCCGTTGAGCCTGAGAGCTCATATTTGATAACAGGATTTGTGTCGAGATCTACAGCGATGGCTGTGAATACCTCAGTTCCACTTGGGGAATTCTCTGAGACATAAGCCTTGTATGATGTCTGGTTAAATGTAGGTGGGTTGTCATTGATATCACGTAGGTTAACAGTGAAGATCCTGGAGACTTCCTTAGGTATGGCTCCTCTGTCTCTAGCAGTGATGTTTAACTCATACGCCTTTGAAGTCTCATAGTCGATAGCACCTTCCACAGTGATGTACCCTTGACTCTCATCAATGGAGAATAACTGGCTGTCTTCTATATAATAAGATATCAGGCCGTTAGCACCAGAGTCATCATCTACAGCTGTTATCGTTGCAATCACAGAGCCCTTGGCTTTGTTTTCTGGTATCTCAACGAACCATTGAGGGTTTGTGAACTGTGGAGTCTGTCTGTTTGTCTCAGTTATCTGCAGTGTTAGGGTTGTTGTATTGAACAGTACTGGTACTCCTTTATCTTGTGCTTTGATGTTGATCTCTAGCTCTTCATTGACCTTATCAGATACTTCCTGGGTAAGGATAACATTCCCAGTGAATTTCTCAACACGGACGTATGAGGAGTCTGCTCCACCATTGTTGTAGTATTCCACCTCTGCGTTGGTGCCATGATCGCGATCATCCCACGCTGTGATCTGCATGATGAGGTCACCTGACTGTGCTGTCTCAACAACGGGAATCTTATAATCAACATCAGCAAACACTGGAGCGTATTTATTGGCTTCTTTTACCACAACTGTAACTGTGACCTCGCTAGATTTTGGAGGGTCACCACGGTCAGTTGCCATGGTAACAAGCTGGTAACGATTATCAGGAATAATTGGTTTATAAGATATAGAGGCTCTGGATGAGATCACACCAGTTGATTGGTCAATTTTGAACAATCTAGTTGCAGTTTTAAGCGTATAGTAGACATCTGAATTGGGACCTTGTGAGTCTCTGTCAGTGGCCTCAACTGTGCCGATCACTGTCCCTTCAGCCTGTAGCTCCACATAATCAAATACATAGAAGCTTTGAGAGAACTGTGGTGTCATATCATTCACATCAGTGACATCTATGTTGAGTGTTGTGAATATCCTCCATGCATCATCGGTCCCAGAGACTTGAAGCTCATATTGACGTTTGGATTCCCAGTCCAGCTTTCCTATAACTGTAACATTCCCACTGGTTGGATCAATTCCAAACTGATCATTTTCTTCAATATTATACGTCACAAGAGCATTTTGCCCGATATCTGCATCAGTTGATGTTATACGGATGACAAAAGAGCCGATTGGAGCGTTTTCTGGTATTTCTGTGATGAAGAGGCTGGTGAATCGTGGTGGTTGGTCATTCACATCAATTACCCAGATGTCAACAGTTGAGGTTGCCAATAGTGATGGGCTGCCCTGGAAACGGAAAACAATATAACATTAAACCTAAATCCTGGGAGACAAAATTTTAACTTCTATCATGTTATTTGTTCAGCAATAGTTTTACAAAGAAGGTATGCTCCTATACTCCTTGTACTTTTTCACTTATCATACATCATCACATCAATTTCAAATCAAACACAAAACCCTGATCTACAAGATGTACACCCCATTTTGATTTACAAACTGTAAGCCCCATACCTGATCTTGTGCCTGTATGACCAGACAGAATTGGTCAATGGTCTCTCTATCAAGGCTCTGTGTTGTCTGTATGAGACCTGTCTCCTGGTGGATTCTAAACTCATTCCCTGTGTTACCTCCAACAATGGAATATCTACAAGTTGCAGACAAGATAAATAAAATAGATTTCTCGGATAAATTTGTTTTTAATAATAAATTAATTTATTGACTGAGAGAAACTTTTACCACATAGATACAGTATACATATTCATGTTCAATACAACACAGATAATTGATGTCTTAATTTAAAGATAAACCTAAAATTCAAATTTGATAAAAGAAATAATTGTTTACCTTATGCGGCCATTCTGTTCCGAGTCTATGTCAGTTGCCTGTACCGTTTCTATGGTAACTGGAGCATCCTCTCCCTCGACGACGCTGGTATTGTAATTCAACTGTCCAAATATGGGTGGGTTGTCATTCTTATCAGATATCGTTATGGTAACCATTGTGTTTGCAAACAATGGAGGTGTGCTCGAATCTCTAACCTGGATCCACAACTTGTAAACTTTTATAGCTTCGTAATCCAATGCTTTCTTCACCTTTAAGACGCCATTATGATTCTGTATGATGAAAACGCCATCTATATTTCCACCAGCAATATGGTAACTAAGAGAAGCGCCATTTTTCGGGGAAGTTCCAGTCAGTTGTGTGATGATGTAATCGACATTTGTGTCTTCTGGGATATTAAAGCTGCGTAAACCAGAGTTGAATGCTGGGTAATTTGTTGTACCAGAAGGAAGTGGACGAATCTCAACAGTGGCCTCATCTGTCAATGGATTCTGACCCTGAAATAATAAAATTTTATATGAGATTAATTTTTCGTAATAAATATTTTCAAGTATTTCTCTCCTTTTATTAGTACTTTATTGGTCAAAGAACCAGATATCTTTGAAAACAATCTTTTTTTTGCAATTTTAATTTTTATGTTTATATACAAGAGGTATATAAAAATGGGTAATTCTTACCCTATCAGTCGCCCGGACATTCAAACTGTAGATGGCAGTACTGCCACTAAGTTGTCTCGCAGCTGTGATAACACCCGAAGTTGGGTCAATCTGGAAATTGCTTGCGGCACTACCAAATAAGGAATATCTTATGTCGCCATTGTTCCCAGCATCAGCATCTGTTGCCATAACACCAAGGATGAAGGAATCTAAAACAAATAAAGAGCAATTTGAAGAAGATGAACATTTTTCTTTTTTCAACAACTTTGAACTACACTATTGATATGACATGAGTAAATTGTATACAACAGTGCCATCTGCCTCCCCTTCTTACAAGCATAACACAAGGAATACTAGCGATATGACACACGTAATTGTGATGATACCTTTAATTGTGATGACAAGCATAATTGTGATGACACATATAATTGTAATTGTGTGTCAACATTCAAAGCATGAATCAACTTATTAATAGAATCTACAACACTTACTAGATATAATAGGGTTGGTTGCATACACGCTATATGCACTCTCATCAAACTTTGGACGATTGTCATTCCTATCTTCGACAACCACAGTAACGGACACTGTGCTTGTGTATGGGATACTACCCCCATCCGTTGCTATGGCAACCAGTTGGTACTCTGCCTGTTCCTCACGATCCAGGGGAGATGTTGTTGAGATCTGTCCAGTGATGCTATTTATGGTGAACTTGTTGCTGATACTATCCACAAGGCTGTAGCTGGAAAGAGAGTCACTTGGAGTTAAAAGTGGTGAAATACAACAAAATTTTAAAAAATTATGCAGCTTTTTCACATTATAACAAATAGATAAGTGTCAAATTGTAAGTGTATACAAGGCAAAATGTCAGCACCTGCCATTTGTTACAGCTGTCAAACACCAAATGTTGAACATCAACAGCTGAACATCAAAAGCCACCACAAAAAAGTTGGAGACTATAATGTAAATGTATAATAGAATATCATTTGAAACATATTTAGTTCATGTGTTGATCCATTATTATACACTTACTTTATCACTGCATTTGCGTTTTCATCATCATCATTTGCTGTAACTTGAACCACAGCAATAGATGGCGCTAGCTCTTCGATGACATGCCCCACGTAGAAGGATCGGGCAAACTGAGGTTCGTGATCGTTAATATCCTGGACTTTCACTGTTACTGTCCCTGTACCAGTAAGTCTGGGATTACCTGGAATACACAGAGGATATTGTTTTATTTTTGGGGGATTGTGGTAAAAATGCAAAGATGGAGTTCTAAATAAAAAAAATTGGAAACATGTGGAAAAATACAACTCATTTTTGCTACCTTGTGACCATTGTTTATATTATACTACATGTCCTTCAAAGAAGGTTTACAGCTGAGGTTTACAGTCAGTCTTACAGTTAGGCAATTAAGCTCCTCATTGGGAATCTTTAAAATTGTCTGGAAACCAAGATTAAGTCAAACTAACCTATGGATCGGATCAACAAACAAAACAGGATAAAAACAACAAAAATAAATAATCCTACTAATAAAACAGAGCAGTGAAACATTTATAAGGCTAAATAAAAGCTCTCCCGTCTATTTCCTAATTAATTTAGACAGTTTAAATCTAAGTTTTCAGCAGTTATCAGCATGTTGTATGGCATACATTGAAACTTTGATATATCTACCTTAGATGAACTGAACTACATTTCAGATCTTGATTTTCATTGATGCTATATGTGATTTAATATCATGGATTTCTAAATATGCATTTTAATATTTTTATACATTGTATATTGAATCAATCATCAACTCACCATAAAGGGTAGGAACCATAATAAGCTTAACTTTTGATGGAATTATTTTAAAATATAAGGTTACGTGTCAGCATTAAACTGTCACCACCTTCTCTAAAGACAAATATTTGGTGTCGCTATGCTAGCATAGGATTGCAACTTTCAGGGACTTGGAACTAAAAGAAATTCCCAACCATTCTCGATTTTCCTTGCTAAGCATATTGGACAGATCCCTATTTCAGAAGTACATGTGCATGTAAATCATAAAGATTGTGATTTGAAAAACATTCATTATTCTTGAATATTATGATTTGAATAATATTAGATTTGTTCAACATAGTTTTAAAGTATAGATACATCTACAGGTTCAATAATCTACTTTCTTTTAGGATTCAGATTTTGATGTTATCTTTATACTCATTTAGAATGCATCTACGTTGACTGGTGACTGATGTACTTTTAGATGTTTTATTTTTCTTGCGGTGCTCTGTAACCATTTTTAGTACTTTCCTTTTGGCACTTGCGCATACATATTGAAGAATTCTGGCAAAAAACTCAAACTCAGGTATTTGTTGTTTATCTTCTACACATGTTCCAATTAATTCTTTATTTGTTGAATTGTTCAACCAATTAAAAATATTTAGCTATGACTAACCAACCACATTGGTATTATTCCCTCTCAATCTGATACAGCGACTGACAGACATTGAGGGTTAAATCCTGGTCCGCCAGACCCTGCCCAGTCGGGGGTGTTTATAGAGCAACAAATACTGGTCATCTTACCTGTTATTTGTATCAAATGCTACTCAAGATGTCGAACTATGCCAAAAGGTGTGAAAAAACAACAGATAATTTCGACATGTGTTTACAATTATCTGATGTACATCCGGGATACTATTGTCATTATTCTTGGATCGACTGAGGAATGTATATTTCGAAGATGCTCGAGATATTTACATGGTTATTTCAACAAAAGAAAATGTGTTATTTTAAAATGATTTCATCAAATTACCTAAACACAATTTGACCAAATGTTGAATATTTCTGAAATAGATTTCTTAAAACGATTCCAAAATTGAGAGTCTGAGATAGAGGGTGTAAGGTTTAAAGTAAGATGATTTGGAATCAATTGAAGTCAGGCGTCTGTACTATTAGGAAGTGGTATCAATGTAAACTGTACTTGGGTAATGGGCAACATATGGTCATAAAAGACTGCAACATCGACAGAGCTGAGTCTATCACCAGTGCCAACAGAGAGAAGGGACAGTAATACCATGATTTTAAA